TATATGTATATGTGTATATATGTATGTATATATGTATGTATATGTATATATGTATGTATATATATATATATGTTTTGTTGTTAAGTGCTGTTGATTCAATTCAACTCGTAGCAATTCTGTACAGAATTTCTGAGGAGCAGGAAGTGGGTTTGAACCGCTGATTCTAATAGTTTGCAGCCCAGTGCTTATCCTACAATGCCACACCAAAGGTCTATATACATATACACACACAAATGGACTTCTGGTGTGGCACTGTGGGTTAATAAGCCGGACTGCAAAATCGGAAACCCTATACAGGGTCACTATGGGTCAGAATCTATCGATGGCACTTCAACATATACATATAGGGAGCACTGTGGCTCTGTATGATAAGCACTAGACTATGAACCACAGGATCCATGGTTCAAAACCACCAGTCACTCCACTAGAGAAAGACAAGGTTTTCTTCCTTGGAAACTTTACACAGGGTTCACTATTAGTTAGAACCAACTCAGCAGCACACAACAACATATACATACACACATACACACACACACACACACACACATATATGTATATAATACACATATATAAATGGAGAAATGGTATGGCACTGTAACTGGACTGTTAACCACAAGGTCAATGTTTCAAACCCACCAGCTACTCCTCAGAAACTATACACAGTTGCTATGAGTTGAAACTGACTTGATGGCACTTAACAACAACATATATACGTGTGTGTGTGTGTTGTTGTTGAATGCTGAATGCCGTGGAGTTGGTTCTGACTCATAGAGATCCTGTACAGGGTTTCTGAGGAGAGGCTCATGGGTCTGAACCACTGGCCGAGTGGTTAGAAAGAAGCCTAGTGCTTATCCTACAGTGCCACACCAGGAGTCCATATATTTATATTCTTCAGGTTAGGCTAGATACGGATACTCCTGACTTGTAATACAGTGTGATTTGTATCTTTAATTTTTTTCTTATTCTACTAATTAACCCCCATCTCTCCTACTTACCCCGTGGCAGGATGCTGCTGGATCTGTGAGAGGGGTTGAATACTAAATGCTTGGCCATTGCATCTCCCATGGAGGTAACAAAGGTACATGAAGTGCAGGCCAGCCTGAGTCCACTAAGAAAGAGAGTCAATATAAATCAGTGAGTGAAAGCTCTGAGGTTTAGTAAGAGGTGTCACATCTTTCTCCTTTCCCTCAAATTAATTTACATACCCACTCTAAAATCATTGAAAGGGTTTAATGTAAAAAACTGAAAAATAAAGAGACCACCAATAAGCTTTTCCTTACCTCACAGAATTTTTAAACAAAGCCAAATACTTGGGGCTCTTCCTTGGAACATGATTACTGAGAAAGGAAACAGGAGAAGTGCTATTAGTTATGGGACTTTGCCAATTAACCTGGAGTTCACCAGCTAATAAAAGCAGTACCTCTGAAATCCATCCTAAACCCAGTCCAAGGCCAGTGTTCCTACCTCAGCGCTTCTTAAACGTTAACATGCCTAGAAGTCATCTGGGGATCTATTAAAATGTACACTAATATTCTAGGACTAAGTGGGGCTTGAGAGTTTGAATTTAGTCCCCAGGACACATGTGAGTGATGAGGTTCTACCAAAGGAAAGCACAGATCATCAAAGCCCAATCAACATTGGTTTGGTCTCTTACTATGAAAGGAAAGACAAACAATTCTGAAAATTGTAGGAGGAAACATAATAGGAGTAGGGGAGGGACTGTAATGAATTCTGAACAACCTGATCACTCCGGGAGGAAACAATTGGTTTAATCACATGACTTACTTGATCATGTGGTTGGCATAAGCTCGAGAGCAGCAGGTACTATAGCGGCACAGAGAACAGTGTACATAAGTGGGGAAGTGATTAGGGAAATCTGGGATCTCAAAGCTGCACTCCAAACATGTCTGCCGGCCCATGGCACTCCTGTTAAGATAAAACAAGACATTCTCATTACTGCCTCCAGGGTCCCCAAGTGGTAGGGGCTTTAGATTGCTACCAGACTGCAATGGCTCTCAGGAATAACCCTGCCCACCCGACCCCCACCGGCCCAGCATTCAGAAAAAGGCGCTGACATTTTCCTAACAGCTTTCTTTTGGATGTTGCGCTGGACAGGGGGATAAAGGAAGACGGGCAGAGGGTCCGATGAGGAGGTCAGTGGCGCTGCCTCCTGCAAGGCGCTGGGAGGTGTATCATTGGAAGGTACAGGAACAGCTCGTGGCTGCCCTCGAGAAGCCCGGATTGTCACCTGTGAGTCATGCAGAAAGGTATAATTAGCCACTACTTACACTAACCCTCAGCATACTAAAAATCTCTATATTCCTCTCCTCCTGGGTCTAGAAAGAAAATTTTGGCAAACTCTACCTTGGTGCCTGGTTTCAAGCCTTCTAGCTGCTTGGGTTTACGAAAGGTTTTATGGTGCTGAAGCTTGTGTTCAATTTTGTCCTTGGCGAAGAGAAACTGCAGCCGGCATTTGTTGCAGTGATAAACATTCCTCTTCTGAAGGGGAAAAATAGGGAGACAGGTACCCAATGAATTTTCTTCAATTCAACCTTTCTGTTGATAATTTAAGAGAATCACCTTATCTCCCACACCCTCAGAGGAAAGTGGGTCCAAGACCACAATGACTAGGTCAACCAACCTCTTCCTGGTATGTTTTAACACTCTGGATGAGTGGCCTGAATTTTACTTGTCTCTAATGTGGCACTGTAGGATAAGCGCTCGACTATAATAATGTCAGTTTGAACCGAGAGGTTAGTGTTTCAAACCTACCAACCACTCCTCAGAAGTCCTATACAGGATTGCTATAGGTCGGAACCAACTCAATGGCACTTAACAACCACCACCTTATTTCTATTCTGCAGACATTAATACCTACTCCTGCACATTCTTTTATAGAATAGTTTTTCTGACTCATAGTGACCCTATAATAGAGTTTCTGAGTAGTACATGGTAGGTTTGACCTGACAACTTTGTGGCTAGCTGTCCAGTGCTTATACTACAGTGCCACTCCAGGACTTTGGTGATAAAGACACATGTGGCAAGAAAACAAAACGTCATACTTTTTATTCTGTACTCTTAAAAATTTGCCTTCAGAAACAAATGTAAATTGCTACAATTTGATGAACTTGACCTATATTTATGGATGTAGTAGCTCAAAATACCAAATGAGAGTGAAGGAGTCTTCATATCAAGGATCAATCCTAAGATGCAAGGACACCCACACTTGCAGATAATATCCACTTGACCTGGCTTCAATGACTGGATGATCAGAGCTCAACCCGAAGAAGAAAGAGGAAAAAAGTGTCATCTGATACAATTTGATGAACTTGACCTACACCTATGGATGCAGTAGCTCAAAAGAGGGAACAAATCCTTACAGCAAGAATCATTCCCAGAGCCCTGCACACAAAGACAGGGATGGGCAACTTGGACACTGGCTACCCAAAATGGGGGGGGGGGGGCTACAAAGGCAAGAAGTGACTGGCTTACAAACTTTCAAGAGGGAACCTTGATCCAGAGGGCGTGGAGGAAGGTAGAGTCTCCAGTGAGTAGTATCCAACCCGTCTAGGAAGAGCTGATGAAATGAAATGCAGATGGGTCTCTTGGGATGCAATAGTGAATAATTGTTATCAGGACTGATTGTGAGGGTTGGAAATGTAAAGGTGGACATCTTATAGCGAGGGGAGTGATTAACTTTTCAGTCTAGGAGCAGAGGGCCCTGGGACCATCAATGGAGAAAAGCGGAGCGCGGGACCCTACCCAGAGAAGCAGTGATGCCTGAGATGGAGGCAGAGACAACGACATGGAGAGATGCAGTGGCTGGAGACTTGAGATCCAGAGAGGGAAAGGGGCTGACAACCAGGGGTGAGGGGGTAGGTTTGCAGGGTATACCCTTTGGCTGGTTGATGATACATGGAGGGGATTGCAACCATGGCAATGAAACAATATGATAGAACAAATGTAAAACTAATGTTCTCCCATGTAAACTATCACAAAATTCACAATAAAACATTTAAAAAAAAAAAAAGGATCAATCCTACAATCCTATCCCCTCTATAGATAGGGTTGACAAGGATGGGCAACTTAGACATTGGCTACCTAAAATGGGGGGTGCTATAAAGCCACGAAGTGACTGGTTTACAAGTTTTCAAGAGGGAGTTTAGTTTCAGAGTGTGCGGGAGAAGGTAGAATCCCCACTGAAGAGCTTTCATTGTGTCTAGACAGGTTTGGAGAAAGGAGATGGGGGCAAGATTCTTATGATTCAATAGTGACTAAATGATATCATGACTAATTACAACTGTCACAACTGTAAAGATACAAGTTTTCTAACAAAAATGAGGGAGTAGTTAATCTCACATTGCAGAAACAGAGACCCCTAGGACCATCAAGGGAGAAGAGTACAAGAGAATGCAGGATCCTATCCAGAGAAGCAGCGACACCAGAGATGGAGGCAGAGAGGAGGATGTTGAGAGATGGAGCAGCTGAGGACTACAGACTCATGGAAAGAGAAAGGTTGTGTGCTGGTGGTTGCACAATGTGCCGTTTGGTTGTTTAAATGACTGTCTATTTCTGAGTGTTTTTGTGGACAACCCCCACTGCCACCCCCCAAAAAACAGGGAATAGAAGCAAATATTATTGAATGATGATGCATGGAGGGGGACTATTAATCACTGCAATGAAACGAAATACAATAGGGTAAGTGTAAAACCCATGTTCTACCATGTAAACCATCACTCAATTCACAATAAAAACGTAAAAAAAAAAAAAAAATCTGCTTTGAATGCTAGTTCTCAGTCCCTTCCACAGAATTAATGCAACCGGTTGCTTGGGTATCCTTCCATAGTCTATGCATATAACAAACACATATTTTGTATATACTCAGCCACCACCTCTTTTTTGGAAAACAAATAATAATTAGTACTTTTCTGAATCTTACTTTTCCTCTTAGCACATCAGTATATACAGCTGCATCTCTCCATGAGACCATTTTGAAGATTCACTCTGCCTCATTCTGAATTTTTTAAAATGTTGGTCTATGAAGACCCTAAGGAGTCCTAATAGCACAGTGGTTACAAGTTGGGCTGCTACCTTCAAGGTCAGCAGTTAGAAACTACCAGCAGTTTCGCAGGATTTGAAAGATGAGGCTTTCTGCTCCCATAAAGACTTGCAGCTTCGGAAACCCTATACAGGGTCACTGTGGATCAGAACCGACTTGACGGCACTTAGCAACAACAACGACTACCCTAGGATGTTGTCCTATAAGTTCTGATTCAGCGACCCTGAAGAGTGGCTGGTGAATTTGAGCTGCTGACCTCGAGGATCAAACTGACCTTTCGGTTCACTGCATTATCCTGAAGCACCACGCTAGGACTCCTAGGATAGTAAAGTTCTATAGCCTCTGGCTGAGTTACAAGTGATATTTTCCGTGCCCCTACTTGAAAATACAGCACAGCGTCTCTGTATAATAAGCACAGGACTGGATGAAGCATTCTGTTCCCACAAAGATTTATAGTCATGTAAACTCTATACAAGGTTGCTATGAGTTGGAATCCACCTGATGGTAGACAATCATCATCACCATCATCATTTGGAAATACAAACCAAAGAAAGCAAATTCTAAGTGGTAGATGATCGGCGTAAGAGGGGGCTTTCAAGTAAAAGGGCATCCAAGTCTATGTGCACACATGCATGAACATTAACCATAGGCACAGCTGTCCTGTTTTCCATCCTGCAGCTCTCATATCTATCTTCACATTTCTTTTCTACAGGCTCTTCTCTTGTAGACATTTAAAAATAAGGGCCTATCTATTCCATCTTTAAGGACAAAATACAACAAAAACAGTAAATAAATATCTTTCCTTTCCCCTGTCTTCCCTACCACCCTGTCCCTCCCCTTCATAAACATTTTTTTTTTTTTTTCAAATAAACTGTAAATTAAAAGTCTGACTCTAAGTTTCTAGCTTGCTTTACCTTCCTGGGACAAGTGATATTTTTATCACACCCTTTTCTTCAAAAGCACTTCTTTCTCATTAGCTTCTTTAATATCAAGACTCTTCTGGCTTGTCTCCTAGTACTATGGTGCTGGCTTTGGGGATAGAGACTTCAAAGAGTCTAAAGTTTCATCTTAATTCAAGGGAGTGGGAGGATAGGGTTGTAGGTCTACGACACTTCACCTAATCTATCACCAAATCATAAATATCACTTATTTTTTCTCAATCTCTCTCTCTTTTTTGCTTCATTCCAAAAGCCAATAATCTCCACTATCATCTCTCACCTAAACTATGAAAAAGTTTGGTCTTAATCTACTTCCATCCATTCTCTTCAGTGTAGCCAATATAATCGTAACTAAATGCAAATTGGAACATATTACAACAACCAGGCTTACCAACCTCTTTAGTGGCGTCCCAATTACTTACAAAGCTGAAACTTCTTCATTATCTGCTGCTTCTCTAACTTCAACCTGTCTTCCTTATACCCTATCCTCTAATCACACTGAACATCTTTCAATTTCTTCACCCTCCTCCATAGTCTGACTCATTATTACTAATTCTGCATGTCTTGAACACCACTTCTTCCTAGAAGCCGTACTAGGCTCCTAGAATAAGTTACACTTTTCTGGATCCTGCCCTTCCCCTAATACCATACTTTTCACGCTTTCTTGTACTATTTGCCATCTTGTTTAATCACTAAATCCCTAGCATAGCACATGGCATATAACAGAAACCCTGTAAGATTTAAAAACAAATGTATATTATCTTCTCTACTAAAATTATTTGCCTAACTCAATCCTGGTTCCAGCATTCATTAAAAAAAGAGAGAAAAACAAATATGAGTATGGCTTGGTACCTGGTGTCTCATATAATGCTGCTGGAATGCATTGCCGTTTTTGAAGACTTTCAGGCAATAAGGGCAGAGCAGATGCCGGGTATCCTCATGGATCATCCGAAAATGAACATCCACCTCAGAGTACAGTGAAGAGCGATACTGACACACCTGAGTCACATAAGAAGGAAAACAAGACTAAGACTGAGGTAAAGTGAGGCCTTAAAAAAGAAGTAGCAACAAAATTATTAACATATGAAAATTAAAAAGATTTCCTAAAATGTATAGAAATCATTTTCTGACTCTATAACACAGGACACATGTCACAACTGTCACTCATCACCACACAGCTGTAACATAAAATACAAATGTGGAAGGACAGGGAACTCTGAGTACAGTCCATATGCTAAGAAGTTTTCACTATTCCACCTCTATAGGACCAGTTCAGGAGACAGACAATTCCAACCTCCCCTTCCCCTACTTAGTACATGTATGTTCCCTGGCTGGACTTGTTTTTCTCCTATATGCAAACATCCTGAAGACAGACACCACTTACTAATTCTTCAGTACCACCTCAGAGTTCCTAAAACTGAGTATATGCAGTAGATACTAAGCAATGTTGATTAGTGATCTTTATATTTAGCCTGATGAAAAAAAATGACTAAACCTCCCTGGAGAAAAAGGCAATACCTGGCAAACATAAGGCATTTCTCCAGGCTTATGAGTATCCTTCATATGCTGGAGAAACAGTGGCTCACTCTCAAATGCCCATTCACAGATCTTGCACTTGGCTGTAAAAAGAAAAATAATCAATATATATACCTGAAAGTAAGACCAAAGTCCTGCTAACTCAATCTTTGTTTTCTCTGACTCCAATACCTTCATTTTCAGTAATTAGCAAACCATATGTTCCTTCTACTCTGAGTTGGAACCAATTCAACGGCACTTAACAAAAACTCTTTAATAGGGTTCCACCTTAACATCTCTGTTGCTGATAACAACTAATTAAAGCCCCACTTTTAGATTTTGAACTACCTATAAGACATTTTTAATTTGATGTTCCACTACCAACTCTAAGCATCCTCCTGCTTCCCATTGTTTCCCTTCTCATCTCCTCCATTTCCTCCTGAGCTCAAACTTAGGCACTATCTGACACCAAATCTTGTCTTCTATTACCATTTTTCCCAAAATACTTCTATAGGAATTGTCATTTCTCCATTCTCACAAAACTTGGCAGAAGCCCACATTACTTCCTATTGAGGATCAGCTGATTTTTAACACCTCTTATCTCTCCAATAAACCTATGCAATATCTACTACTCCTTATAAGTCATTGTCAAACAAATTATTTTAAACACCAATGCGTTACTACATGCCTCTGCTCAAGAACAAATAATTAACTGCTATGAACAATTCTACAAATATACTGAATGAGTACAAGTACAAATTTGCCCTCACAGAACTGAAAACATGAACAGAAATAGCTTCTGAAGTTGCAATTATAAATTTTGGGTTAAAATGTTTACTTGCTCCAAATTTCAGTTCTACAGGCAAAATAGTTGACTGTATTTTCTTACTTTCATTAGTCTCAAATATTTGCAGCAAATATGAAAATTATGATAAAGTTTTAAGCATTTACTGGACAATGTCTAATCCCACAAAGTGAGTAAAGTTACAATACTTCCTTCACGTATAATGAACAAAAACCAGAGACCCATGGAATAGGCCTCAGGAACACAATCATTTACAAAAGAGTAAAATATGTATTTTTCTGGGGAAACGGTTCACAGAATTTGTGCTTATTCTTAAAGGGTTCTGCAACCCATTTAAAAACACTCTCTAAACAAGGAAGGAAAGGAAATAAAAAATTGTGTCTAGAAACTACAAGAAAATATATAAGCTAAACCTTGAAAGGAGAAGAACGGTTTGTTAGAAGAGATAAGAGAACAACAGAAAAGCAAAGACACAGAAATATGGAAATGTATGGTATATTTGGAGTCCTGGTGTGGCTCTGTGGGTTAATGTGCCAGACTGCAAAGCCGTTTGAATGCAAGGTCGGCAGTTCATGCTCACCAGCTGCTCCTCGGAAACCCTATACAGGGTCACTATGGGTCGGAATCGACTTGACGGCACTTAACAACAACAACAACATGGTGTATCTGTGAAACAGTAATTAGTAGGATGACAACATTTTCTTGGTCCTACCCCCCCGCCCCCGCCACCCTACCTCTCAATTCTCTTAGCTCTTCTAGTTACTTTTTATTTTCTAGAACATCTTTAGAAAACGGTAATTTAAAATTGTTTTCAGAACATCTTGGAGCCCTGATGGCACTATAGGGCAAGCAAGGTGGCAATTCAGACCTAGCAGCTGCTCCATGGGGGAGGTTGTCTGCTCCCATAAAGATTTACAGCCTTGGAAATCCTTTACAGGAACGTTATGAGTTGGAACTGACTGGATGGCAACTGTTGAGTTTAGGACATCTTTCAGTATTGGTGTTTCCTAATATTATGTCCAAGTCCTTCTTATTCTCTCTGTTTTTCCTGGAAAATCGTATTCAATCTCAAAGGCTTTCCCTACAAGCTATATACCAGCTCTATAGTCACAACTGTCACATACCATTATCAATAATAACAGCAACATTTATTAAGCAATTTTTTAATGCCCAGGCACCACGCTAACATGTTTGTACACTTTATCATATCAAAGAAATTACACAGTGGATTTAAGAAATCTACACATCTTGGAAGAAAGGCCTGGTGATCTAATGTCTGAAAAATCAGTTGTTGAAAACGCTATGGAGTACATTTTTACTCTGAGTTGGAGTTTATTAGATAGCAACTACTTTTTAAGTAGCCTTTGACATTTGTCCTATAAAAGGAACTAACATGGATAAAGATTCAAGAGGGGAAATTGGCTTATTTTCCACAGTAGCTATACTACACTGCTATTATTTTCAAAAATCCCAATGTCCTTCCCAATACCATCATCCTCACCTCTCTGTAACATTTACAAAGTCTCATACTTTGAGAAAATAGGGAACTTCTGCACACTGAGACTTCTTATTTTTAAAATTATGGAAGGATAAATTACTTATTCCTTTCTAAGGCTTACAACCTCATCATTCCATGTATTACAACCTCATCATTCCATGTATCTCAATCAATTCACTTTTTCTTCCACAATGGCACTTTCATAACACCTGAATGAGTCAGCTTCCTCAGTCTACCTTTCCACCAATATAACAATTTTTTGAGATTAGAAGAATAATCCACATTTGTTATCCTTAGTTCGATGCTAAGGAGAGGCAGGTAATGGTGCCAGGTAGGACAATATTTAAAAATTTGAAACAAATTAATCATAGGATACTCACTGTCATGAATTGAATTAGATACCTCAAATTATGTGTCTACTTGGCTGGGCCATGATGCTCAGTGGTTTAGCAGTTATGCAATGATCGCTCATGATGTGATCTGACATGATAAACTAAAAGAGGAATGCAACACCCTTAAATATCGTCACATCCCTGATCCTGATGTAAGGGGGATTTCCTTGGTGTGTGCCTGTAAAATCTTGTATCTTACTAGAGATAAAAGGAAAAAGAAGTGAGCAAAGATCAGAGTCCCACGTAGAAAGCTGAGCTGGGAGTAGAGTGTGTCCTTTAGATCTGGGGTTCCTGCACTGAGAAACTCCTAGAATGCAGGGAAAGATTTATGCTAAGACTCATGGAGATCTCTAAGGAATGCTGGACCTACAGATGCTGACAGACACAAAAATCTCTCCAGAGCCAACAGAAAGAGAAAGCCTTCTCCTAGAACTGGCACTCTGAATTTGAACTTTTAGCCTCCTAAACTGTGACAGAATACACATTGTTGTTTGTTAAAGCTATCCATTTGGGTCATTTCTGTTATAGCAACACTAGAGAACTAAGAAGATACCCACTATGGAAACCAATCTTAGTAATTTTTAAGTCCTGAACCTTTCTGAAAAAGCTACGCAATCCTTCCCCTAAAAATTCTAAACAAAGCATACACACACACTCAAAACTTGCAGATAATTTCAAAAGATTTACAGACAAGGTGAATTACCAAGTAGATTAAGATTTCTATTATGAGACATAAAGAGTCCTGGTGTGGAACTGTAGGATAAGCACTGGACTGCTAACCACAAGGTCAGTGGTTCAAACCTACCAGCTGCTCCGCAGAAACCCTATACAGGGTCGTTAAGTCAGAATAGACTCGATGGCACTGAACAACACTATGAGACATAAATAAAAGGACTATGAAGCAGTATTAAGCAAAAGAATACTAGAACCACACAGGCTCCTTGAATTCATGCATTGTCCTTAAGCAAGAAGAAAAATGTAATGCTATTAAGATTATAATGTTACCATAATTAATTATAATGATCTGTTGGGAGTCCTGGTATGGTGCTGTAGGACTGACAATCACACATTTAAACCCACCAACCACTCCTCAGAAACCCATACAGGGCTGTTAAGAGTCAGAACCAACTCAACGGCACTTAACAACTGATGTTTTGGAGAACATACAGGAAATTTGAAAATGCCTAAGTATTAGATGATATCAAGGATTTATGGCTCATTCCTTTAGGTTCTGACAAATATATTGTGGGTATACAAACGAAAATGCCCTTATGGCAGACTAGGCAGAAACGCTACATAAGACTCTCTACAACAAAGAGAAGGAAAACCAAATGAAAGCGACATTGATACTAGTCTTGGGCTTCAGATGAAAAGACAGTGAAGTGAATGCTCAGGAGAGAAAGCTGAGCAGACATAGCAAATTAAAAAAAAAACCAGACAGACTGGTTACCTGTGACAGCGGACCAGAAGTGAGGTGGCCATCTTAAACTTTCATGAGCAACATTAGAGACAAGACAGAAGTTTGCGGGTCCACAGACATAAACAAAAGTGTGATTTTTTTTTTCCTTCTTATTCCCCAAACTCCCCCTAAAGGACCAGAGTTGTGGCCGGCCCATACCCACATACACCCCAGCAAATTCCCACTCTCCCAAGGTCAGAGCCCCATCAAAGTGAGTCAGGAGCTATTTGCACCAACCCTGGCACCTGGATTCAGATGAGCCCTGCTCCAAACCTGCAGAGCTAGTCAAGGCCAGCCCTAGACTAGCCTTCATTAGGGGAAGATGCTGAATAGAAAAGAGAGGAAAAAAAAAAAAAAAAAAAGAGAGAGAGAGAGAGAAGTAATTTGTGCTGGCTGGCCAGCCAGGTGTGGTATAGTCATTTAAAAGACTTCCAGTGAAGCGCCTGCAGTCTTGCAATTAAAACTGAAGTAAGTCACACAATAGTGAGTCATGTCAATGCAAATAGGGAGCTACCCACACCAATTCTGGTGCATGGATTCAGCTGAAGCTTGCACTAACTAGACCTAGAGTCAGTGATGGACAGCACTGGATTAGTGAAAACTCTTGTCCCTGGTTGCCCTCCAGGATGGAAAGACATTGATCCCAGCTTCTTTAGGGTGTGCACAAACTACTTTTGGATTAGATGCCTAGAACAAAGAACACCCAGGCCAAGAAGAACTCCATTGAGGGCTACAAAGAACACCCAGGCCAAGAAGAACTCCATTGAGGGCTAAGTACCACTGTCTCATCTCTTGCCCACCCACCTCCTGGGCTAGCAGGAGGCCCAGGAAGTTTCTCCTCTTCCTTTCCTTGTTTTTGTCTATTTATTCTTTTTGCCTCTTATTTCTCTCTTTACCTTTACTTACTTTTCATCTTTTCTATCTCAGCCTCCATTTATTCCTCTTTTATTCTGTTTCTCTTTCCTCTTCCGACCCCCATTTCTTTTTTGCACCTGATTTTTCTTTACTACTCTGTGGTCTCATTCTCTTTTATGGATCTCTACCCCCACTTGTCCTGGTGTGGTGCTGTAGGTTAATGCACCAGACTGCAAAGCTGTTTGAACTGCGAGGTTGGCAGTTCAAGGTTACTTGTCGCTCCTCAGAAACCCTATACAGGGTTGCTATGAGTCAGAACCAATTGACGGCACTTAACAATAACAACCCCTACTTGTCAGCTTCTGTTGCCTGCTTTTTTTTTTCTTTTCTCCTTTACTATTTTCTTTTTTCATGGTTGTTGCTCATTTTTTAAAAATTCTCTTTTGTGTGTGGATTTTCTGTTCATGCCCATACAGCCCAGCCACAAGGGACAAAAGCCAATACCAGCTATTATACACTTGATCAACAACAACAACATCAACATCAGTCAAGCCCTTCCTAAACTGAGCTGCTGAATGACAGAGAACTGCGCTCATACTTCCATAATCATACCCACCAACATACAATAACCAATTAAATACAAACACAATACTACCATGTCTTAGAAGCAACAATTTCTGTTCACATGAAGGAACATGACTGAAAGTGGCTGAAACTGACAAAGAGGTTGAGACAGAAAATGGTTCTGACAATAAAAGGCACTGGAACTCCCCTGAAGAAGAATCCAAGAAAATATTTAAGTACCTTCAAATAAGTGACAGAAAGGTGATGGGAAAAATAAACGAAGAATTCAGGAAAACAAAATAGATAAAAGGGTTGGAGGCAATATAAAACCCTGCCAATAGGAATCCAGAAGATTAATACTAAGACTTCAGAAACAAACAGCACATTGAAAGGGCAAAAGCGTAGAGTTGAATCAATGGAAGCCCAAAGATGTCTGTCAATACTGGTAAACTAGAAAATCAATCAGCAAAAGGTAAAAAAAGGAGAAATCCTAAGATTCATGTAGGATACCATATAGACAAATAACTTAAGGGGGGATCAGAATTACAGAAATGGAAGGAAAAACAAAAAGCACAGAAAAATGGCTGAAGAGTTATTGGAAGAAAACTTCCCTGACATCATGAAAGACGAGAAGATAAGCATCAAGATGTTGAACGAACCCAAACCGCGATAGATGCCATAAGAAAATCACCAAGACATAAATAAACAAACTCCAAAATCAAAGACAAGGAAAGGCAAGAATCCTATTAGCAGCAAGGGAAAAACAAAAAGTTACCCTTTCAAAGGAGGACCAACAAAGATTATGTGCTGATTTCTCAGCAGAAACTATGTAGGCAAGAAGGCAATGGGAAGACATATACAAAACTCTGAAAGAAAAAAACCTGCCAACTGAGAATCGTACCCAGCAAAACTATCCCTTCCAATGTTGTTGTTAAGTGCTGCTTAGTTGGTTCTAACTCACAGTCACCTTGCATAGGATTTCCAAGGAGTGGCTGTTGAATTTGAACTCTCTACCTTGTGGTTCAAACTGACTTTGCAATCTAGTGCTTATCCCACAGCAGCATATGCCTCAAATAAGATGGAGAAATTAGGACACTTTCAGATAAACAGAAATGAAAGGAATTTGTAATAACAAGACCAACATTACAAAATAATACTAAAAGGTATTCTCTGGACTGAGAACAAACAATTGCAGTCAACAACCTTGAGATTAACATACATGACACCACCATTCAGAACTCAATCCAGATATAGAAATATCCAAAGTAAAACAAACCTTTAAGACAAAAACAGGGAACCAGAGATAACAATTCATAATGAAGGAAAGTATAAAGCAAACAAGAGGAAAAAGCATAGTTACAAAACTTCTAAATGGTGAGGAAGTCACATAGATTTCAAGATAAAACAGACTGCTTTAAACTGGGGAATAAATTAACAAATTATAGGGAGAATTTAAAGAAAATTAATACACCATCACAACAAAGTAAGAAAAAGGAAAACCATAAAGATTTAGAAAACATTAAAACACCAGAAATGAAGAAAATTACAAGAAAACACACAAACAAAATGAATTCAGCACAGAAAATCATGTGGAAGAAACCAGCAGCCCCACAAAAAAACACACAGCAAAAATGACAGCAATCAATTTACATATATTGACAACTACGATGACTGTTAATGGATTAAATGTACCAGTCAAGTGACAGAGTAGCAGAATGGGTAAGAAATTGTTTTTCTTAAGTGCCATTGGGTCAGTTCTGACTCATAGCAACCTCAACGTTGGCAGTTCAAGCCCACCACCCATTCCTATATAGGATGGTTTCCAAGGAGCAGCTGGTGGGTATGAACCACCAACACTGTGATTAGCAGTCCAGAGCTGATCCTACAGTATCATACTAGAAATAGTTCCTTCATATGCTGGCCACAAAAGACACAACTTACATATAAAGACAAAATTTGGCTAAAAATCAAAACAAGAACAAAAATATACTAAGTTAATGATACTCAAAAACGAGCAGGAATGATGATCTTAATTTCTGTTAAAATCCACTTTAAGGCAAAAACCAGCATAAAAGACAAAGGACATTTTTTCATGATTAAAAGGTTGACTAAATAAGAGGACAATACTATAATAAATATCTTTGCTCCCAATGAAAGAGCTTCAAAATACATAAGTTAAACTCTTAACAGAACTGAAGAAAGAGGTTTTAGTAAATCATTTTAAATGAAAGCACAACTTGAAATAAACTCAACAAAGACACGAAAGAACTAAGCAAAACAATTAAACAACTGACCTCAGAGACTTATACAGAGCACTCGACCCAACAACAGTACAATACACGTTCTTTTACAAAGTATAGGGAACATTCTTCATAAAAGACTCTATGTTATGCCGTAAAGCAAGCCTTAATAAATGAAAACACACTGAAATACTGCAAAGCATCTTCTCTGATCACAATGCTCTAAATTAGAAATCAAACAATAGGGACATCGAGGGGGGAAAAAATTTAAAAACCTGGAAAATGGAATTAAAAGATAATGAAATTTGTCCACAAACTTTCTGCTGTTGTTACATTTTCCTGTTTACACTATTTCTGTCTCTTCAACTAAACTAGAGACCCTTTTCTCATGTGACAATTTCGTGAGCTAGTGGAGTCCTGGTGTGGCGCTGCATGATAATGCACTGGACTGAAAGGTAGGTTTAAACAACAAGGTCAGCAGTTTGAACTCACCAGCTGCTCCTCAGAAACCCTATAAGGTTCACTACTGAGTCAGAACCAACTTGATGGGACTTAACAACAACAACAAGCATAATATAGTTCTTGAAATTCATGATCTACAGTGAGTAATATGGTGAGCACTTCTGAGTCTTCAAAGCTTACAAAGCAGCCTTCTAAGATACAACTATTGGTCTCTTACCTTTCTAGAACAAAATAGAAAAAAGGAAACCCAAGAATCAGAGAAGAACCAGAACTACAGAACTAACTCTCTATGAATCACTGCCTCACCTCTTCTACCTTGAGACCAGAACTAGATTGTGCCTGGTTACCCCTACTAAATGTGATCAAGGGCACAATAGATGAATGCTGATAGAAACGAAAAAAATGTGCAATAGATCTTCAATTTTTTTAAAGAACCCAGACTTACTGGTTCTATTGAGGCTAGAAGAGCTCCCAGGACTATTACTCTGAGTTACTCTCCAAATTGTGAATTAAAACTATCCTCTGAAGTCACCTTTAAAATAAGTAACAGTTTAGTGCCAAAAGTAAAGATTATCTCCCTTGAGTATTGCAGTCTTAAAAAATAATATCTATATTAAGACCAAATAGATAACATTATTTTAAAGCATACATGAGAAGGTTAGCTGGAGGGCAGGGAATGTTGTAGTTTAATGGGAATAAAACAACTAGAACAGTAATGATAAGAATGGTGATACAATGTGAAGAATGCAATCAATGTCAATGATCATGTTTAGAAACTGAATGGGAGTGGGTTTTGCTGTGCATATTTATACCAAAAATAAACTATTACTAAAGAAAACAAAAAACCTGGACTCTTAAATGAATTAGATATATTCTACAAGAAAGAGCTGAACCCCTTACTTTTGTCACCTTACTAGAGTTGTTTTTAAACAAATGACTTAATTATTCTGAGCTTGAGTTCCTTTCATCTGTAAGATATATTAATATATATAACAATCAAACTCACAATTTCCTGAAATTAAGTCAGTTATATGCAAGTATTTTATTAGAGGCAAAGTATTTTATGACAGTATTATCCTTTATCATACATAAAGTCTACCAGTATACTAATTAAAGTGGAGGTTAAAACATTCATGATTCTTCTTTTATAAAAGGATCCATGTGATAAATCAATTATGTTTACTTCACTACAGTGGTCCTAAACAAAAGTTTCTAAAAATTCAGGATCCATCCATACTGAAAGAATAGAAGTTAGGCTAGCAAGAAATTAGGGGAAGTAAAATAAAAAACAGGCTACAAGTACTAAAAGTATTGCAGTGTTACACACAGATAAAGAAACATAATGGCTCGGGGTTCTACGCTCCTATTACTGTTGTTAAGTGCCATCGAGTCAGTTCTGACTCACAGTGACTTCATATAGAGTCTCCAAGGAGCAGCTGGTGAATTGGAACCAACAACCTTACGGTTCCAACCATCCTTGAAGTCGAGTGCTTATCCTATGGCATCACACCAGGACTCCAGGCTCCTATTAGGACTATTCAATGAGTGAGAAACAAAATATATTCCTAAAGTTTAGCAGTTTCCATACTTACTAGTTGATTCATAGGGACTGTGAACATTTTCCAAGTGGCACTGGAGCTGGAACGGTGTGGAAAATTGGCGATAGCAGTGTTGACAGATAGTATGACCATCCACCTCACCATTCTGCTGATCAAGTTCTACATGGTGTTTCATATGGTTCATGAATCTGCAGTGCAGCGCAAAAATAACACACACAAAAAAACCCACATTAAAATTAGCAGTCTTTGAGAAATACAGCAGAAGAATCAAAGAACAGATTCTCTGCCTTTCTCCCTCTCCAGCTCTCAGCTATTTCTTCTATTTGGTATACTCCTTTTCTGAGGCCAAAAAGATAATGGTTTCTTAAAACTACTAGAGTTCTGTGCCAGGAGATGAACTGATCCCCTCAACTCAACCCAAAGTTGTTGTCGGGTGTCAGAGAGTCAATTTAGACTCACACTTAGCCCATGTGATAGGAAACTAACTGTCCCATAGGATTTTCTAAGCTGTAATCTTTACAGAAGCAGATCACCTGGTATTCCTCCCACGGGGCCACTTGGTTGGTTTAAACCATCAACCTTTCAGTTAGCAGCCTAGTGCTTAATGCCACCAGGGTTCCTCTTAACCCAAAGTTATCTTTTATATATTATCACAATATCACTTCTTTTCTAGTACTAGTTTTTGGTTAATGATATCCTCACTAAGATTGGACAAGAGTTAAGACGCTCCAAAGAGAAAAACTTAAATATATAAGAAAATTCAGCCTTCTCTTGTCCAAAGATTCTTTAACACTTACCGAATATTGTTTTTTAGCCTTTTGGTACAATGTGGGCACCGGAAAGATGTGGCAACCTTAGGGAAATTTGTGAGCTGGGCTACTTTGCCACTATCCCGTCCATAGTAGAAGTCATCTACTAGCATAATGAGCTTAGTTTGGACTGCATCACCCACGTTTTCATTTGGCTCTGGTGCTTTGGTAGGTGGTGACAGAGCAGGAATAGGAGTAGAAGAAGGTGTGGAAGCAACAGGAGCTGTTTTCTCAGGGGATGGGGGCTTTGCTGCTGATGGGACACTGGGTTCTGAATCCAGAGATTTTCCTTTCTTCAAGTATTCAACCATTTCTGGGCAGCAGTACTATAAAGAAAGAGAACATTTGATCATTTTGGCTACCAGGGTGCTAGGTTCAGCTAACTTCCCAACATCAATAATACCCTTTGGTAGTAGTTTGGTTTTAGGTTATTTGTATCCAGTTTCACCCTTCTATTTATTGCAGTGCATCCAGGTTTCACTCCTCTAATAGCTTATATTGCATACAATTTCAATCTTTTCCTAGCAAACACATACCTTGTACTTAATTCTTACCTGTCTTTGAATCCCTTAAATACTCTTTAACATTAATTTGGCTCTGAGCTTCCTGGCAGGAAGAATGTATAATCTTTGCATCTGGACTAATACCAAAAAAAAATTTAAGCTAGAAAATGGGTGAGTAGTAGCTCGTGATTTATCCAGTGACAGAGTAAGTACAAAATGAACTGATGCCAACTTGGTTGAATTCTTACTGTCTAGCACACCTGACACCTGTCCTCCTGTGCAGTTTCAAAATCTACCACAGTTAAGGAAGTAAGATCACACATGTTCTAATCTATTTTAGGGTCTTCTAAATGTGTCCCATTATGTCCCCAAATGCATAACTCTTCTCTAACAGAGATGATCTTTTTAAAAGCTTCCATTGTCATTTTAGACCCCTTGCCTCACAAGCTCCCCATACTAAAGGCGGTAAACAGCAGTAGTCACTTAAGCTGGATCCTCAGTATAGGTGGTATCACTTACACACATATGACCTCTCAAAGCTTCAGTAATACGGAATTGAGCATTACACCGGGGACAGGTTTTCCGTCCACCATCCTGGAGATCAAATACTGGAATGGGAGAGGTCACTGAAAGAAGTAAGAAGCACTGATGAGATTAGTAAGAAGATACTGGGAAAAGGTTACTGATTTGGAAAAAATTAAACACTTTCTAAGAGGTAGCAAAAAACAACAAGAGGTAGATGAAGAGTAAACAAACGTGAGAGATTACTATGTTTAGGATACATTCCCTTCACCTGTAAGCCAGGGATGGACAAACCGCACACTGTAGGCCAACTCTAGCTAAGAATGGTTTTCACATATTTAAATAATTGAAATAAAACCAAAAGAATAAGACTTTGTGACACATAAAAAAATTAAGATTTCAGAGCCCATAAAAAGTTTGAGTTGGAGGACAATCATGCTCACTTGTTTATTAATCACCTATGGTCACTTTTGCACCATAATGCCAGAGCTAAGTAGTTGCAAAAAAAACTCTATAGTACACAAAGCCTAAAATATTTACGATCTGGCATTTTACAGAAAAAATTTTGTCAATCCCTGCTCTAGGCCAATGAAAAAACTCATGCTCATTTTTATCTCCATCTGAAAACCTCTCTATCAAATCCCAACTTTAAAACGCTGTTCAAAAAACCATCTCTTTCATGAAGTCATCCTAGATTCCACCCATCACTCCATTTCACTTATTCTCAAAGCATAATTACACACAGAATTCCTTGTTGCTAATTCACTTAAACTTTTCACAAGTGGTTATCCCCTTTAATCTCTAATGTCTAGAATCAGAGATAATACCAACTATACACTTATTTCTATACTTCAGAGTATACAGTTCTGATAGAACAAACAACTTTATTAATGTTTTTGAATGACTGCCTGCTCAGGGTCTCCCAGGTACCTTTCATTGATGACTCAGGTCCGCTGGTTCTTTGAGAGCCATGAGCTGGACTGCTGTTGGAAACCACCATTGGCCCAGGACTCTGGCCCAGGGAAGGGATGGTGTTAAGGGTATTCACCAGTTTGGCTACTTCATTGCTATTTTCACCTGTAACCCCAGGTCGCTTGACAGTGACAAAGCTGGCAATGCTCACTGCAGGTGGAGAGGGGAAGGAGGGAGCTATGTTGGCCAAGTGATAATCATCTGTTCTCCACCCACCACCCGTCCCAGCTCTGCAATATCCTCTTCCCAAACCTCACCTGGCTTGGGATTCGGGGTCTGGTTGGACTGGCCTGGAGGCTGAACAGCTAGTTGCCCCAGTGAGGTTGGCTGTGTGGCAGTGGGAGTGGTGGAGGTGCTGGGAGTGGACTTGGTCTGCTGGGACTGGGACTGTGGGACGGTGCTTCGAATGGTGAGAGTGGCTGGGATGACGGTAGTGAAGGTGTTGGTGGTAGGTCGCACAGGCATTGTGGAGCCTGGCCTCACTGGGGTCATCTGAGAGAACACTTGTGGGACTCCAACTGTCGGCTTAACAAACTGGGTACCTGGGGCTTCAAAAGAGACACAAGGAAAAGTACCAAATCTTGGTCAATGAGCTCACCTATAATATATTCTCCCTGACTTTATTGGAAATACTAAAATACGAAAAAGTCCCTTCCCTAAACTAGAGATCAACAGTAGTATAGATTCTAAAATCTAAGAAAGCAACAACTGTCCAAACAGATAAATTAATACAAAATAATTAACCTAGGTAACCAGCTCTAAAACTGATAAACTGAAGATGATTTCTAGCATTCCTACCAAAACACCTTACCCACTCTGCCTGTATTCTATTCCAAGAATATAATTAGGAGTAGCCTGACCTTGGTATTAGACGAGAAAAGATGAGTATAGATCAGGAGGCAGTTATGAGTGTTTATTAGTCAAAGGACAGGCTTGGTCCTGAAAAATTGAATCCTTCTTTCTCAGTTTACTAAACCATTCTTCCATCCATCATCTCATATAAACTCAAACAGAAGACTGACTATGCCGTTCTACTAGGATGTTCCAAAGGAGAGTGTCTCCTGGCTCAATTGTAGACAATTCCACTGAAAAATACTTAAGAAATGCCAGAACTTGGTTGGGTTTATCAGACTGAAGGTTTCAAAAAGCCCTGTGAGCTCTGAGAACATAACCAAAAAAACTTAGGAAGACAAAAGCTACAAAAGTATCTTGACAAAGAGCTAAACTGAGATCACCTTTTTTGGGCCTGAATTGTGGTTAAAATACACACAAAATAAAGAAATGAGACAGTGTAAAATTTTTTAAAATAATCTTTCCATTCTGTTTCTTATAAAAAAGTATTCACTGATAATATTTTATCCACAAATACATCATTTGTTCATTCATTTACAATAATGTTCCTTCGTAAAAACAAATTTAATAGCTGATTGAAACATCAGAAATTGACTATATAAACCTTGATTCACTAACGGACACAGGATGAAGAAAAACTTTTAAAAATAAAAAATCACAATTGTGGCCAAAGGTTAGAAAGACTTTTTTAAAATATGGACTTAAATCAGTAAAGATTTTTATATTTTATATTTTCTTTAGAACATTTTTTTAAAAAGACCTAGAGCATCTTAGAATAATAACAACAAATTTTCTGGATGCTATTGTATTCCAAATAGATTAAGACATTCTCCTTACCTGGGACCAGAGTAATTGGTCTAACCGTTTGGCCTTGCTGTACATTCAGCACAATCCCAACCTGATTCATTGCATTTTGTACAGGCCGGACATTCCTGACAGGAAATCCCTGGATTAAAAAGCAAAATGACCTTTAGCCTGGAGACCAACTAACATTACTGAGACTGCAGTATGACCTATAAAACCACCAAAATTCCCCATTCCCACTTATGGTCCTTTCTCTAGTTATAATTTTTAAATGATTGACAAGGAGAAATTTAGGAATTTTTTAATATTTCGAGTGACAAAATATAAAAACTTGAGAACAGGTTTGGAGACCACAGCCAACCCGAGACATCTAGTCATGTGCTAGTCATGTGATGAATCTTGTATTTAGAGGAAACCAAGTTTACTAAGAAGAATGACTAGTTCTGGGATCACACCGTGGGGAATGCCAGATTCTTCCTCTAAAGTAATCCCGTTCGCAACACCTTCCCCAGTGAGAACCAACTCATCCTGAAGGTGAGGCCTGAAGCTATAGCAAGGTAATACGAGATGGTGCCCTGTCACCTCTAATAATGGAACTGAAGTCTGGGGTCTTAAAAGCTCAAACAGAGCAGACATCCCCCAAATACTATCCTTGCAGAAGATGTGTAAACTCCTTTGTAGGTGACCTGTGCCCCCTAGTGGTGGCTTGCTCAAAAGAGGGACAATGTGTAAGTGAACCCCGACTTCAAAGCACCTGCTGTGATTAAAATGACTACTTCAGATCTGAAGTAAACTCTATTTCAAATAAAACTGCAGCTTGGTCAAAAATCTCTGCTTCTGCTGCTCTGAACAGACAAGTCAGATTGCAAAAGTTAAACTGCTTATAATCTAAAGGGACAAAAAATAGTTTGTGGAAGAAAGAGTTTATTAAAAGATGATTATCAAGTGTTTGTGTGGCTTGGTCCAAGAATGCTTGCCATGATCAACATGTTCAAGAACGATAGGAAATAGAGACGATAATGTTAAGAAGGACTGTAGTTTATTTTTGCCAAGTATCATCTTGTGCCTGTGAGCAGTCCTTCCTTTGAGACTGATTATACCTGATAAAAACCTCACTCTCTTATAATTGAAGAGTCCTGGTGTGGTGCTGCAGGATAAGTATTGGACTGCTAACTGCAAGGTTGATAGTTCAAACCTACCAGCTGCTCCTTGGAAACCCTATGCAGGGTGATTATTAGACAGAACAGACTTGATGGTCCTGGTGTGGTGCTGTAGCATAAGCACTGGACTGCAAGGTTGGTTGGAACTGTAAGACTGGCAGTTCAACCTCAGAAATCCTATACAGGGTTGTTAAGAGTAGGAACCAACTTGACAGCACTTACCAGCAACAACAGTAACCTGTCTGGGTGGCTAGTGTCTCCCAATTTGTGAATCTCTCTACCTTTCAAGAAAACCCTTGGCTTTTTGGAGTTCTTCAACATATAAACAATCATAGAAATTACTGCCAAAGTCCACTCTTCAAAGGCCATAATAAATTACTGGCAATTTTACAATAGAATAATTTATAACTCATGAAAACACAGGCAAAGAAAAACACTTGCCTTTACAGTCTATATTTAAATTTAGACTTTCAATTTACCAAATTAAATATCAAAGATACACCTTCCTTTTCTTCCAAAGATCTACACACTTCATCAACTTAATACATACATCTCCAAAATGCAACTAATTCACCCTGTGCTAAGAAAAACAGCTCAAGCAAAGAGTGCACAGCTTTGAGAGCTAAATATTAAGGCTTCCTAATCCAAACTTTCCCACTAATTTGTACCCAGACCTCAATCAAATCACTTAATAACTCTTCTCTGAGGTATGAAGAGGAAATTTCTCAGTCATGATAGGATTTGTACAAACATCAACATCAAAATACATAACAGAAAGTGAGAAAGTCAGGTCAAAAGACAAAACTTACAACCATTTCTAATGATGTCAAGGACTTAGTCTACATCATAGCCTCCAAAGTTCATAGAGCCTTTTCCTCCTTCTCTTATCAAATCCAGAATCCCCCTCTGAGTCCTAACTCACCTGTGTAGTGATGAATATTGGTTGTGAGGCCACAGAGGAACTAGTCACATGATTGGCATTCTGCATAACCTGGACAGGCCTCAATACTGGTTGAGTAACCATTGTTCCCAGACCAGGGGCTGGATTCTGGGTCAGGATGAGCGGTTGTCCACTTTGCTGGACCAAAGGATTGCCAGCTAATGGATGAAAAAAGAAAATTGAATGTAAGAAAAAATGTTCACATTTCATAAGAAACATTAGAGAAGAACTAGAGTCCCAGGTATTAAAATAACCAAGACTGTCACTTAACTCAGGTTTAATGTCACCCATGAATCTAAAATTTAATCTTCACCCACATCTACAACTAATAGAAGAATAGGGAGGTAAGGAAGGCTCACTAACCTCTCACTCACATATCTTACATAGGGATGAAACACACTTCAAAATTTCTATGTGGTTATCACCTTGACTCAGATGATTCCCCCAGAATAAATAAGCAAATCAAAAGAACATACAAGTACTTTTCCCATTTTAACTAGGTAAAATCTATTTTGTTAGTATAGTTTATTGTTAGCTAATCTATTTTAACCTTTTTAAAAAGGAAACATTCATCAACAAACATTAATTCAGCAAGTATACAGAATCTAAAGAATGGCACCTCTTCCCAGTGAACCAAATCTAAGAAATGTAACCAATTCTCTAAACAATCATTGTCTTTTTAGGTATAGGACTATAGGGAGTGACTGGCCACCTTCTCTCGTTTTATGTCACTAAGGCTGATATAGAGAAAACCTGGTCAAAAACCGAACCCATACCAAGTGAAGATGATATGACTACAGAAGGATAGTCACATGGATAAATATTAATAAACAAGACTATTACTGAAATAGTTTACATTCTTCTCATTTGTGGGTAAAAAGTAATTCAATCAAAAATTTCCACTTTTTTTTTAATTTGGCTAAAACAAAAACAAAAACGTCAGTATTATGTTCTTTGATTTACATGGGATACTCAAAACCAGAAGGAAAATTTCAGAGCACCAATACACCTTAATTTTTACCCCAAATCACAAGAAGGGGGTGGGTCCCTCTGAATTGTATGTTCCACATGACAGATGGGAGTCACACTTTGCAGTTAGCTACAAAGCTATACTACTAAAAAGAGGAGATGCAGGTGGTTATTAATGAGCCAGCAGTGGTTCATCCCATACTCTTCCAGAAAAAGAAGCTCAAAAGACAAAACCCTTCACAGTTACTGGTCCAGTAGACTATTGATTACAGAAGGTGACAGATAAAAAAATCCCAACAAGTTCTATCTATGTTAATTATACAGGCAACTTATTGAGTATATGTTTTAAAAATTTTTATGTTTTATTATACAGAAATTAAAACATATTTGACAATAGAATACTATAATGAACGCTCATGCAGCCATCACTAATATTCAAGTCGCTAACTTAGGGCCAATCTTATTTCATCCATATCTCCAACCCGCTTATATTATTTTGAAACAAGTTCCAGGCCATACCATTTCATTTATAAATATTTTAATATGCATATCTCAAAGGTTTAAAACACAAAGAAACCAAACAACAACAAAAAACATCCAAATCACAGCACCATTATCACACCTAAAAAAATGTAACAAGTCTCTACTGGACTTCTGGTGTGGTGCTGTAAGACAAACACTGGCCCACAGGTTGGTTTGAACTGCAAGGTTGGTTGTTCAAACCCACCAGTCACTCCTTGGAAACCGTATACAGATTTGATGGCACTTAACAACATCATCATCAAACACCCAGTCAGAATTCAAATTTATAATTTTTTTTTTTTTTTAAAGCTTGTGATTTCTGTATTCTTATTAAACCTTTCCTCAAGAGAAATTCTGGCAATTCAAGATTCTATATTCAAAAGATGAAAAACGCATTCAGAATTCTAGGGATTAAAAAAAAGCCTTCAGAACAAGTATTCAATTAATCTTCTGTCTCTAAGTTTGCTCTCACGTGAACTATTAAGGTACCTCTAGTTGTAGCGTAGTGGTTATGAATCAGACTGTGAGCCACAAGGTCAGCAGTTCGAAACTACCAGCTGTTCCGTGGGAGAAAGATGAGGCTTTCTGCTCCCGTAAAGATTTATAGCCTTGGAAACCCTGTACAGGGTCACTATGAGTCGGAAACGACTCCATGGCACGTAACAACAACAACAGTTGTAGACTGATTTAATAACAGAAGAGAATCCTCTTACAATGTTTTGTTTTACAAATATATGTGTTTTAATTTTTTCTACATTCTTTTAAGTTTACGTAAAAACAAAAATACCAACTGACTTTAAGTCACTTCTGACTCAGGGTGACACCATGTTTGTTATAGTAGAATTGTGTTCTACATGGTTGTCAGTGGCTGTGGCCTTTTGGAAGTACATCACCAGGTCTTTCTTCTGAGATGCCTATTACGTACCCATAAAACCCAGATATAAGAGGGACACACCCAATAGGAGTTGAAAATCATAATTAGTAATATAGTAAGAAATCTGTAACATTAAATTCACATTACCAACAGCTTGAAATGAAACACATGATCTATTTCATATCATGATGCTTCTTTCCAATACAAATACCTGAGTAGCTAGACTACAGAACTAATTTCTAAATGCAGTGTAGGGAATTCAGAAAATATAAAAAATAGTAAAAATATTCCAGAAATGTGTTCCTGACACTTTGTTTTCAAAAAACAAAAAACACAGCTTTATTGAGATATAGTCCATATACAATACAATTTATCCATCAAAGAGTTACAATTCATTGGTTTTTGGTAGAATAGCTCTGCAATCATCACCACTCTATACAACTAATGCCACATTTTCAACACCCCCAAATTAAACTCTGTATGCATTAACATTCATTACCATTCTCCTCTACCCACTGTCTTTGGCAATCACTAATCTATTTCTGTTTCTAGAGTTGCCTACTCTGCACATTCATATGAATAGATCATACAATATGTAGCCCTTTGTATGTGACTTTGTTCGCTAAGCACACAAATCAATTTCAAGGTTGACCTGTGTTGTAGAATGTTTCAGTAATGCAGTCTTTTTAAAAGTTGTACAAATAAATATATATGTAACTTTTGCTGCACTACAAAAATTTTCATCTGAACATTCAAAGCCATTTGTTCTGTTCATTATGCTATGCTACCATACCACTATCCTTCTTAAAATTATTTGACTTTCATTAACAGTGCCCCCGCCCCCTAAATACTAACTCCCACTTTTTTTCCTCCTTCCTGCCCCTGGTAACCACTAAGAAGCTTTGATCTTTATATATTTGTCTATTTCATGTAAGTGGGGTCATTCAATATTTATCTTTTTGTGACTATTTCACTCCCATACTGTTTCCAAAGTTCATCCATGTTGTTGCATGTACCATATTTTGTTTTCCCATTCATTTGATGATGGGCATTTAGGTTATGAATAGTGATGCAGTGAACATTAGTGTACAAATCTGTTTGCACTTCTGCTTTCAATTCTCTAGGGATTGGGATTGCTGGTTCAAATGGAAGTTGTATGAGGAACTTTTTGAGAAACCACCAAACTATTTTCCAAGCAGCCATACCATTTTACATTCCTACCAGAAATAGATGAAGGTTTCAATTTCTCCACATCCTTTCTAGCATGTTATTTTCTGGGTTTTTCAATCACAGCCATCCTACTACTGGGTATGAATTGGTATTCCATTGTGACTTTGATTTTCATCTCTTTAATGAATATGAGTTAGAAATAGGATTCTATATTTTTTTCTAACTGTCACACTTCATGGAATAATATAGGGCAAAATTGCACTTCTCTGCTCCCATTCATTCTTTAAAAAAGTTTATCTTCGTCTCATTTTAACTTTAGAACTACATAAAATGTTACATTGTCTCTATTCATCTGCACCACCTGAAGAAGGAGAGTCGGAAACAGGAGGACATGTATGTGTGGCTAATTCCCTCTATGAACAAGTGCCTCCTTTGCCATGGGACCAGAACTGGATGGTGCCCAGTTACCATCACTGAACATTTTGATCTAAGGTTTCATAGAAGAAACCTGATCAAAAGAGGGGAAATGCAGAACAATATTTTGAATTCTCATAGATGCAAGACTTTCTGGAGCCATGAAGGTTGGATGAATACCTGAAACTATCCCTCTGAATTAACTGCTAAACCTTAAACCAAAAATATCCCTTTAAGCCTTCTTAAAATTAAAAAAAAAAAAGTTAACTTACCTAATAAAACTGATCAACCTTGAACATTGTTATTTTAAGAACTATCTATATGGGATCAAATTGGCAACTCACAAGATTTGGCAAGAACATTAGGGTGTAGTGAATTTACGTTAATAAGGAAAGAACAACTCAGAACAGGAGGGTGAGATGAGAATGGCTAAACAACTCAATGAATATAATCAATGTCACTAAATAGTAAAGGTAGAAATTATTGAAATGGTGTATGCTTGCTATGCATATTCTAAATAATGACAACATCATGTATGTAAATTTTTTTTTTAATATTACATAAAATTGAGTTTAAAGCACAGTAGTAAAATAAGCATCCTGAATCTACCACTCAGGTTAGAGCTGGACCATTATCATACTATTTGTTTTCCATCCCCGTCTCATTCCCAGAAGTACTCACGTTACTGAATTTGTGATTTTTATTCACTTGCTTTTTAAAAAATGAATTTTATTACATTTTCAATAAACAATTTATTTTATTGTTGTCTAACTTATAAAAATGGTGTAATATATCTATAATATATAGTCATTTTAATTGCACATTCTTACAAAACACCTCCCTCATGCACATACCCAAGGATTATTCTAAGTTTTATCAGTAAAAGGAGTTGTGGTATGGCCCTGTAGGATAAGCACTGGGCCAAAAGGTCGATTTGAATCAGGTGGTGGCAGGTCAAACCCACCAGCTGCTCCTCAGAAACCCTATTAGGGTTGCTATGAGTCAGAACCAACTCAATGGCATGGAACAATTACAACATATCAGTAAAAGAGAAATTGCTGGATTGAAGCATATGTACATGTTTGCCTTTGCCACATACTACAAAACTGCATTCTGAAATACACTTTACATTAGCAGTATTGGCAGTTTCTCCAACACTAAAAATGGTCAGATATCTTCATTTTTGCTTACTGAGTATTAGGTTTCCTG